TCCAGCAAAAATAACATTACCAGCGAGCGATGCCAGCTCATGTTCATAAGTGAAAAGAGAGCCAGTGTATCAGCAGCAAGTGATGTAATGGCAATTACACACACTGTTCATTCCCACGGCTGCAAAAGGATAATTTCTCAGGATGACAACGCCAAATGCTGCAGGAGCTAAAGTTCATTATTAGGACTCTCTTGGAAAGCAATTACTGTATGAAGTTTCAGAGAAGTCATTCTAAACATGTTAATAAGTATGAACACATCTTACCAGACACACCTGTTAAGTAACAGAACAAATGTCTTTTCTGTGGGAAAGAAACAAGAATTTGTTCTTTTGGCATGGTTTAGAATCCCTGTACAAATGTTTACGTGTTTGGTTTGATAAGATTTTGGAAACAACGGTAACATATTTTACATAATAAAACCTAGTGGAAATTAACATGTCCCATCAGTAAGTGAAACATTTAAACTTCTGCTAAAGTAAATGAAAATAAGTTGTTATCGTTATTTGCATGGTTATTTTCACATGGTCTACAGTCAGAAATTGGAATGAGAAATATGAGTTCTTTCAGGTTATTCAAATAATTCCTCAATGTACAACTGTATCCAAAACTCAAAGGCTGCTTGATACATAAGACTGAATCTAATCAAGCAAGTTAATGTCAAGCTGTACATGGACAAATTAATTACTCTTCTTGGTAGACTAAGAGAACCATGGTTTCATGAGGTTTTGCATATAATAAAACACAAAAACCTAAAAATCACACCTTTCATTGAACAGATGTAATGCTTGTCAACACTGGAGCCTAGCACTTCCGTCTGAAGCCCAGACAGATGTAGTCTTCTGGATCTCACCAGCAGAAGAGATTACAATCCCCAGCTGGCCTGTCACACATCCGTGACAGAGCTCATCACCCCCACTGCTCTGCCAACAGAGCAGCCTGCACATACTGCCTGATTCATTTCAGGGGAAAAAGAAAAAAAGAAGAAAAAAAAAAAATAAGTAAGCCAAGTTAGCTTGGTAATCCCTTCTAGAATGAGAACATCAGTCCACAGCCTAAGTCACTGCTGATATTGCATTTAGATGTTCTTGAAATTTCAAGTACTGCATCCAGCTCTGGAGCCCCCAACATAGGAAAGACATGGACATGTTGGAGCAGGTCTAGAGGAGGGCCACCAAAATGATAAGAGGGCTGGAGCACCTCTGCTATGAGGACAGGGTGAGAGAGTTGGGGTTGTTCAGCCTGGAGAAGAGAAGGCTCCAGGGAGACCTTATAGCAGCTTTCCAGTACTTGAGAGGGCCTACAGGGGAGAGACTCTTTATCAGGGAGTATAGTGATAGGACGAGAGGTAACAGTTTTAAACTAAAAGAGGGAAGATTTAGACTAGAGATAAGGAATAAAGTTTTTATGATGAGGGTGGTGACACGCTGGCCCAGGTTGCCCAGAGAGGTGGGAGATGCCCCATCCCTGGAAATATTCAAGGTCAGGTTGGATGGGACTCTGAGCAACCTGATCTAGTTGGAGATGTCCCTGTTCATTGCAGGGGGGTTGGACTAGATGACCTTTAAAGGTCCCTTCCACCCCAAACCATTCTGTGGTTCTATGATCCTTGAAAATATTTGCGGCGGTTTCAATTTTGGTGGTTTTCCCTAGGTGAAAGGAAGCAAATACTACAAGAGCATCAAAAATACATATTAGCACAAGCCAGACTTCTCATTGAAAATTACATTTCATATTTAGGTCTTTTAATTGTTACTGTATGACTAAGACCTATTTTCAGTATGCACAGTGACTGAAGATTCGCTAGGAGTTTGATAAAGGTATGAACAGAAGAAGTCACTTTATCCAGGACACTCCATATGCCTGCCAACATATCTCCTCCTTGGTGCTACAAAAGAAGGAAACAGGCAACTATTCTCAGATCAGGAATTGTGCAGGTAAATATTGGGTTAACATGTCCAGCTACAAACCCTTTAATCTGTTGCTTTGGTCTAGAACTCCAGGAGGGTAATATCAGTCAACTGCAAGTTGTCCAGCAAGCCCCATGCATGTACAATCAGCAAGTTTGCTGATGACACAAAACTGGGAGGAGTAGCTGACACGCCAGAAGGCTGTGCCGCCATACAGCGAGACCTGGACAGGCTGGAGAGTTGGGCAGAGAGAAACCTTATGAAATTCAACAAGTGTAAGTGTAGGGTACCAGACCTGGGGAGGAATAACCCCATGCACCAGTACAGGTTGGGGGCTGACCTCCTGGAGAGCAGCTGTGTGGAGAGGGACCTGGGAGTCCTGGTGGACAACAGGATGACCATGAGCCAGCAATGTGCCCTGGTGGCCAAGAAGGCCAATGGCATCCTGGGGGGCATCAAGAAGAGTGTGGCCAGCAGGGCAAGGGAGGTCATCCTCCCCCTCTACTCTGCCCTGGTGAGGCCACATCTGGAGTACTGCATCCAGTTCTGGGCTCCACGGTTCAAGAAGGACAGGGATCTGCTGGAGAGGGTCCAGCAAAGGGCTACAAAGATGATGAGGGGACTGGAGCATCTTTCGTATGAGGAAAGGCTGAGGGACTTAGGTCTTTTTAGTCTGGACGAAAGAAGACTGAGGGAGGATCTTATCAATGCTTATAAATACTTAAAGGAAAGGTACCAGGGGGATGGCAACGGGCTTTTTTCAGTGGTGCCCAGTGCTAAGACAAGAGCTAACGGGCACAAACTTAAGCATAGGAAGTTCCACCTAAACATGAGGAGGAACTTGTTTACTTTAAGGGTGGCAGAGCACTGGCACAGGCTGCCCAGAGAGGTGGGGGAGTTTCCGACTCTGAAGACATTCCAAACCCGCCTGGACGCCGTTCTGTGCAACTGCTGTAGGTGCCCCTGCTCTGGCGGGGGGTTGGACTAGATGATCTCCAGAGGTCCCTTCCAACCCTGACCATTCTGTGATTCTGTGACTCTGTAATTTTGCTTCCGAGTGACTGCTGCACCCACTATAATATACCTTCCAACCAAAAAAGATACAAAAACTGCAGCATGCATCCTATTACACAAATCTACCACATCCAATTTCTCACCACTGTCTAGAATCAGATCTAGAGCATTAAGGTCTCCACAGACCCAGACAATCTCGGCAAGGTTGCAAATCGAGTTCAGAAATATTCAGGCCACAGTTATGCAGAACACCAGAGAGATACTGATATTTCTTTGATGGATTAAAACATACGATACCAAACCGCTTTCTGGAAGATGACATACTTTTGCTCTGAGTGGCTACTGAAGGAAGTACATTGTATCACACAGTAATAAATTCAAGGAACCATATATGTTCAAACAAAACTTTAAAAAAAAACAAATGTGAAAAAAAACCCACACAAACTGGCTAAAAAAAAACAAAGCGAAGTCTCACATTTCCATCCTCCATTACCCACTCAACAGCAGATGAGAGAAGGATGCTTATATGGCTCAAGCTGCAAGACAATGTTGATATTAAGTACATTCCAAGTGAAGGATTTGTCAACATTATGATCTTAGGAGAAGCTCTTAAAAAAAAAAAAGTATAGAGTACTTAACTTGTAAAGATGTCATGTATTTATACAGCTTTCTGACTTGTTCTCATTTTCTTTCCAAATAACACTTACTCGGCTCCTTGACCATATTCAAGTACTGAACTGACTTATTCAAAGGACCTGTCCATGATGACTCTCAAACACCTTCCTGATTAATAGGAGTTAGTTTAAAGCCCGTCCCTGTGTACAGATAGGATTGTTTTTTTCCTCCCAGTGCATTACTTTCCACTTTTCTCTATCAAATTTCATAAGTGATTTTAATCAACAGATCTTTCTGAAATGGATGAGAGTCAGTTTTAGATTTCTGTATCCTAAATAATCTCATATAATCTCTCACACTATTCTTCACCCCTTTTTCCAGCTTCTTCAGGTATATCCCAAACAAAGGACACAGCAGGAACATTACTGGCAACCTCTTCCTATTATGAAAACTGATTATTTATTCCTTGTTTGGTTTCACATATTTTAACTACTTGCTAATCGTTTACTAATTCCTGGAAGACACAGGATCTTTCTTCTTGAAGAGTTCTAGCAAGCAATCTTGTCAAAATCATTTGGGAATTCATGTATAATGTACCCATCGGATCATCATCAGATATATATGTATCCTTCAAAGAACACCAGTAAATTTGGAAGATAAGACTTCTCTGGTAATCATGCTATCCATTGTGTGTTTGAAATGGCATTTAATAGCTCCTGCATATCCTATTCACTTAATTGCTGAGGCTCTGAATTTTATTCCTGCTAGAAAAGCTGCCAAATACTCCTTATAACTGGACTTTCATATACTCCAACAGGTGCAATGCATAAGGCTTCCTAAATACTTTTTTTCTTTTGCCTCTATTTGTGATTCCAGTTCACCAGCTCCAGCTGGCACCCCAGCCAACAGGCTAACATTTTTTATTTGCAAGTTCTGCAATTGCAGGTGGTGGGCAGCCTGTAGAGAATCTACCAGCAGAGATTCTGCTGGAGGCGACAACTCTTTGTGGTCATCTCTTTGCAACAGAAAACGCATGTGCATCTCTTAAGATGTTGGTTGGTTACTCTGCTGCACAGCCATAAGAACAGTAGGGTAAGGATTTAGACGCATCCCTTGTCACGTTAAATTGTTAGAATTGTCCTTTGCATAGTTTCAGCCTGGGTCAACCCAAAGAATGCTTCAGAGGGACTTGGAAAGTGCATGGACTCAGTACCATTCCCATTACTCAGTCCACATTTGGCCATGCTGTTTGTTTTGGAAGCCGAAACAGCTTCAGACAGCTATGTTCCACGTAAGTGAAAGTGATGCCATACCAACTGGCATCAGAGTCAGACACTAATCTCTTACCTGCTTCATTTACTAGCACAGGCATGGCCACAGACCTGCTAGATGGCTAGCAACCTCTGTTAGAGGAACAGCTGAAAACAATAAAACTTAAAACCACACCAACTTAATTTAGAGTAACATCTAGCTGCAGCACTGAAGATACACAGGCAGGATGAGGAAGACCACTGTACTGCTAAGAGGCGTAAAGATAAATCGGTATCAATACAACTCAGATTGCTAGAAAAATTCACATTCTTTAGAGTTTGCTACTTAAAGATTCACTTTGAACTTTGCAAATTATTTACTTAAAAAGCGTTCCATGGGTCTTCAGCCAGCTCCTCCTCTTCTCAGCCTTCTGCCTCAGCTTTGAAGAAAAGTTTAGGGGCCTCTGAACAGATCTAGAAGTAGGGCATAATGGGTTTGTTTAAACTTTTAGAGGGGTTGTTGAGTGCACTGTCAGATAAATTCCAGAAATTCATAGGCTTTACATGTATGACATCTCTTACAATAAATGCATTTAGTTCTAGCTACTGTAGGCTTTACATGTATGACAACTCTTACAATAAATGCATTTAGTTCTAGGACATCGTCATGTTCATGAACAGGAAAGTTTAATTTTTAACTATCCTGGTAGTTACTTGAAATACACACTGGAAACAGCTCAGAACACAGAAGAGGCATTTATACCCATCTTTCAGAGCAAGCCTCTATCTTACAGAACCCCAGAAGCTGTGGTGGGATTTCCTTTATTTATGACCACGAACATGGAAAGTACAAAGTTGGATGGCTGGATAAAGTTAAGGATAATTGAAAGTCATCACAGCCCCTGCATCAGGAAAATAGAAACCAACATCAAATTACATCAATTCTTTCTAGGAGAGAAAGATTAGGCCTTCTCAATTTCCCTCTAGACTATATTTGAATTTCCCGCAACAATGTATCTTGCATCAGTAAAACAAAGAAAAGGAAGAAAAGTGAATACATTGACTTGTTTACTGATTTAAAAGATTACAAAAACAAGAGAAAAAACAGGTTCATATTCAAGTGATAAGACCAGAAATAAAGATGATGGCACAGCTGTTGCTTTTCTTACTCCTACCCATTGCGAATAAGTCTATTACAAAAAGAGACAAAATATCATGTAAATTGAAAGGCTGCATAAAAATTGCTTTCCTATTACATTTCATTTTTAGGACAGTATACCAACCTTAGAATGCAAAAGCAAGCAATATACAAGGTCCCATTTGCTGTCAGAAAGGAAGTTGATTGCAAGATCTCAGGTACCAGTTTGTGCAAATAATAGTCAAGTTTTCGTTTCCTGAGAATAGCTGCAATCTGAGGGAGGAGGGAAGAAAAAAAAAGGGGGGGGGGACACAAACTTTAATTCAGTTAGGCTCTTTTTTGCACATTGTAAAGAAAAACAAAAAAAGGAAAAGGAGACATGCCCATTTAAGTAGTAAATCAAAGCCTCTTAAATTTGCTGGTTTTATGAACAATACCACAAAGATTTCCTTTGAACTTGTTCCAGCTGTTACAATATTTATACCAGGAAATACATCAAGCAATCTTAACTGGGAAGTATAGGGGGAATTTTATTACCTTGTTACCGTTGGCCATAACAGTCAGAAATGTTGTCTGCCAGACATTAGAACTTTTAAGATGTGATAAAATTACACTGAGTTTTGTCTTCCAGACAATTGGACCATCGCATAAATAAGGACAGAACATCACTAAAGTAATCCAAATACACAGTGTCTATGAAGTATCATGTATTTCTAAAGGTTTTTGACTCCAGTTAAACAAGTGCGAGTCCTTCAAAAAATTTTCACCATCCGCTGGAAGAACAACACATTCCTGACAAATTTTATAGAAATGTTATTTCTAAAAAACTGCCTAAAGCAGAAAATAGGCTGGATCTAAAAAACAAATGTTCTTTTTCGTCAGTCCCATGTCCCATGTTTTATAAAAAACAGTTACTTAATGACTCAAACACTGAAGGTCCTCAAAGTCTTTTTTTCTCCACTGGCATTCTGCAAAAATCTAACGGGAAGGTGTAGAGAACCAGGCTCTACTCAGAGGTGCACAGGGATAAGACAAGAGACAACAGACAAGTTCAAATATGAGAAAGTCAAATTAGACCCAAGGACAAAAAATTTTCACTTGAGGGTGGCTGAATATTGGATTCCACAAAGCAATCGTGGACTCTCCATCACCAGAGAACATCAAAACTGAACTGGAAATGGCCCCAAGCAACCTCATCCAACTGGCCCTGCTTTGAGCAGGAGGACAGAACTACATGACCTCCCAAGGTCCTTCCAACCTGCATGCTTCTATGACTCCATGAAATTATACTTTGAGTGCACCGGGAGACAGATTTTATTGGTTTTTTTCTTTTTAATAGCATTAGCATCTTTATCTGCACTGACCTCCCAGAGAGTCTCAAAACTGGTAGGAATTTTCGGTCAATGCTTAGAATAAGAGAAGTTGCAAACAGAGCAAGCTTCTTGCTGCTGATGAGAACAACGAAAGATGTCCTGTCAAATCGGCATTGGCAACACTTCTCAAAGTCTCGGTTCCTCAGTCTAAAAACATGGGAGAAGGGAGCTGTTCTTCTGAAACACTGTCCACTAACACTGAATAGCAAGTAGATGGTTTAGATTCAGAGATGGGCTGGAGATTCTGCTAAAAGTAACCACAGGGAAGTTCTGCCAAAATCCATTTCCAAAATGAAGCTTGAACTAAGGATTAAGGAGAAATACATGCATGAACAGACTTCTGAAAACAGATTTACACATTACTTAAGTGTCAAGACTGCTTAAACCATAATGGATTAGGCAATAATGCAATCCAGATAATCGTTCTGTTGAAGAGAAGTCTTAACGTAGTCTAAACACCAGATCACTAGTTGCTACGTCCTCAGCTATTTCTAGCCTACCGTACAAAGGTCATGAACATTTGGGACAAAATAACAATTTTTTTGTTTTAAGAACACAGACCTTACACCTCAAGTGGGAAGCCTTGCTTCCTCAGACCAAAGTGTCCGAAGTATAACAGGGAAAGATTGGTATCTCATAAATTAATGTCAAATCAAAGTAAAAAATTTATTTCTGTAGCTTCTCCAACAAGTTTTAGACTAATATAAATTTCTGCTTTCCCTTCTCTTTACTATTCTACTCCCAAGTGAAAAATAGAAAAGAACCAGGAACAAAAGCATGCAAACCAGTGCAAAGAAACAGTGCACAGGGTAACTGAATGAGCTGTATGCATAAGGGCAATGGAGCTTGATGCATGCCCACAAAAAAACAAACCCACACCCAAAATAAATAATTTTCAAATTGCTTTATAAACATCAACTAAGCTAAACATTGTGTACGGTTGAAAACAGGCAAGACCAGACTATGGAACAGCCCCTCCTCCTCTCCTCCACCACCAACGGTGTGATTACATGGAAAAAAACACCAGAGATACTTCTGGACACCACCTTGCTCTCCTTTTCAGTTCCACACACCTGAGAAAAGTGCTATTAAAGTTGAGGTTGGCAAGACAGAAAGACTGTGAAATCTGTCAGACTGCAGAGGGTCATGGTTCCCACTGGGATACACTTCACTCAAGTGAGGTGGAAGGACACCGTGATGAAGGCCAAATTCTTGCAATAAATGCACTGCTCAAGGCTTAGCAGCGGACATTGGTAGCAGGTACCAGCACGGAAGGAGAGGCCATGGAAACAACCAGAGACACTTCCTTGGCAAACTAATTATCTCCATGAAGATGCTAACAGATGTAGGAGAACATCTGCACATTACCTGAGACTCCCTGTAGAGTCAGAGAGACAGAAATGAACATCTCATTGACATTATGGCCTCAGCTCTCCAGCTATAAAAGTAGCATACAAATCTTCGGACACCTTTATATAGGCACCTCATAGGTCTGTATCAAGATCTTAGTGTTGATAGCTGTAAAAGTGAGTTTGGGGTGTTATTCACTACAAGAATGAAGGACTCCGATTCTGATTCAGCTCACTGATCCAAACAGTTGACTACCGTGTACCCAGGAATGGCCAAAACCAGTTCCATACCTCCCACTACTCTTTTCACCCTTTCCCATAATTTCTTAGTTTTACTCTTCTCTTTTTGAGATGGAGTGACAAGAATTTTACAAAATAAAATTCTTTGGTGCTTACAAATTATTGTAGATTTTCGGCTTCAGTAAGATAGCACGGCACATCCGCAACACGAGCAGAGCACTGCTGTGTGAGATAATGCCACAAGTGTTTGCTGCTCTATGAAACCCAGACACAACGCTGCCTCCCCTCAGTCTCATGCTGCCTCACCTCACCTCCTAAACTACAGGTTTAGCCATAATCCAGGGAACAGAAGCAACACTCTCCTCAAACCACTGTAAGACCACGATTTCACAGGAGAGAAAAGCACAATCCACTTCCAGTGCTGCCTCTCCCTTTCAGCTTTATTTCTGAAGTCGCGGTGTTTCTCCTGCCTATTACCCTTTATCAGAAGGAGAAGACTGCCCAAAAAGCTTCTGGAACCAGGGAGAGAAGACTCCACCAACTGCCAGTGGATTATGACCCAGGTCTCACTTATTCATGGCTTCTCCACACAGACCACAGCAATGCAGCCTTACCTACCTCAGGGTGAGGAATGCTCCCGTATCTCCTTTGACTAACAGTGGCTTAGGAATGCATCAGATCTGCTGGAACTTCCTACCCTGGCTTTCCACAAAACACTGAGTCACTCTTCAAATCTCTTATTTTCAAGGCATCCAACAACCTGGCCTGAGGATACTTAGAAGAACTACACAACTCTCTTGGATAAAGACTGTCATTAACAACTCCACTAGGATACTTAGAACTACACAACTCTCTCGGATAAAGACTGTCATTAACAACTCCACCCTTCAATGGAACTTACATTTAGCAAAGACAACCCTTCCCTGCACAGCACCACCTTTCCATAAAAAAAAAAAAAGTAAAAGGAAAACTATCGCTGACAGCACCGTTTTCTATTCCAGATAGAAGGCACATGGCCTTCACTTCTCATTTACATATATACTGTATATCATCCACTTAAAAAAAATATGACAAAACTGTAAAAATCACAGTGTTACCCTGTATGCACATCTCCCTAGGGAAGGGAGTACAACGGGAATAAAAGACCTAATGTAACTGATGTCCACCATATATCCAATATACCATAAAAACTATCACGTAAACACATGTCCTATCACTGACATTTAAAGTAACAAATAGACAATGGAACTTTCTCAAGCAGATTTGCTCTCTGCAGGTAAAGAATATCCAGGTTTGAAACACCTAACAATAAAGACTTATTTATTCATCATGAAAAATTCCAACCCTATCAAGAGTTAAGCATTTGAGTCAGGGTTGAGTATAACCACTCCTTGTAAGTTAATTTGCAAGAATTCCAAGATACCTGGAAGTAATAAAGAAAATCCATATTTCAAAAACTAAAATTGAGGTTTTTCTCTCACCACAATTTAAGTTTTCTTACACTATGACGTTTTATGCACTAAAAAGAAACTTTAAGCAGTAGTACAGTCTGCAGATGCAGTCTTTATTTGGCCTATGTATGCATTAAACAGACTTCAGCACTCGTTATCCACAGTCCATACCAACAGCTGAGCTGTTCGCCTCTAACAGCCTTTGCAGCCCTTCCTGCCATTTAAATTCGACTTTCTTCCCTCTCAAAACCAGCAGAGCTCAAGCTGCCAGAGCTCTAGAAACAGGAGAGTCCAGCTTTGCTGACATTTTTACATTCTCATCTTCTAATACAGTCAACTAATAAATCCCAGCTTTCCCAATCTCCCATAAGAAGTACTTTTCTAGATGCCCAAGTACTCAAGAGCAGAAGGAAATTTAAAATTAATCATAGAATCATAAAATCGTCTAGGTTGGAAGGGACCTTTAATAAGATCATAAAGTCCAACCGTCAACCTAACACTGCTAACACCACCACCAAACCATGTACCTCAGCACCACATCTACCCATCTTTTAAATACCTCCAGGGATGGCGACTCCACCGCTTCCCTGGGCAGCCTGTTCCAATGCTTGACAACCCTTTCAGTGAAGAAATTTTGTCTAATATCCAATCTAAACCTCCCCTGGCAGATGGCCTAAGAATGCCCAAAGTTTTTAGAAGGAAATTAGAAATTTCTATTTGCATCCACAAGTTCTAGCTTTTGATCTCCCTTCAGGCCAACACAGTCTGCAGAAGAAGAAACAAATGAACCACAGTTAGAGGAAAGAAAAGGATCAACGGGGGAAAAAAAAGGATGAAGCAAACAGAATCCTACATAGTTCATCATTAAAAACATAAACAGCAGAGCTAGAAAAAAAGACAACAGAGAGAACGGGTCAGAAAAAAAAGCTGAAGGGAACAGATTTAATTCTAAAAAAAAGTCAGATATGTTAAAATATTAATAAATAAGTAGTCAGAAAAAATTCAAGCATTCGAATACCATAACACAGGCAATAAAGGATGTTTTAATCTTTTAAATGCCTATTGCTGCTTTTCCAGTGATTTGCAAAAACCCTTAAGACAAAATTCCAAGCCTCTCCGACATACAAGAGTAGACTTTTCTT